GGGGCACTGAGGATGGAGGGGTGGTGGGGCTAGGCCATGGGCCTGTAGGTTGTATCCCAAGTGTGACCTGTGCTGCTGAAAGGTTTCGAGCAGGAGAGTAATGGGATTTTATTTATGTTTTAAAAAGATGTCTCTGGGTGGCACGTGGCAAATTGATCCTAGGAGAACACAGGTGGTAGCAAGGAAAGCTGTTAGAGTCCTTCAGGAGAGGTGACAATGGCCTGGGGTGCTAGTAATGGGGTGAGAAGGGTTGGGCTGGGACATAATTTGTAGAAAGAGCTGACAGGATTTGATGCATTGGCTGGAACTCCGAGCTTTTTGACAACCAGGTGAATATTGGTGCCATTTCCTGAGCTGGTTCACTGTGGGGAGGAGGAGCCTTGGCAGGAAGTGTGGAAGTAAAGGTCATGTCCCAGACCTCTGTCTTTTTTTTTGTAAAGGGATTTTTTTTTTTTTTTTTAATGTGTAACATAGGCAAACTTATTTAAAGTCAGCACATTTTTATTTAAGGAATTCCGTATGTGTGGATTCCTTCTACTCCCATCGCCTTATTCCTCCGTAGTGAGTCATCATCTTAATGAGAGCCCTTGTACAGGAACGCTTGCTTAACCCCCAGTTGTCATGTCACGTCAGTCCCCAGGTCTTTCAGCTGCTCTGCCGATGACATTTAAAGCCAAGAATCCCACTCGCCCCTCACAGCCATCTCCCTCAGTCCTCTCAACACCTCCTTTTCTTCCCAGAGCCCGGTCCCAAGCCTGTTTCCTGATCTGTTGGCCCCCCCGGCCTCGGTGGTCTTCTCTAGCCAGCTCGTTCCCCAGGTGCTCGTTTGTCAGCACTCAGTTCCCTTGGGCCCTTTCCTTCCATCCTTCCCACCAAGACAAACCCCAGCCTGGGATGGGATCGGGGTGACAGTTTTTTAGTTCCCGGTCCCAGGCTGAGTACAGCTGGTTCAAAACCTGCCACCCTGCAGACTGGGCCACTACCAAGTCATCCTCGCCAACCTTAGGTGGTGTCTCAGTGTGCCCCACCTGGGGGTCAGATCCCCCTTCTTTTCTCCCCAGTAGCCCCCCTCACTCCCCGCGGGTCTCCTTACGCCCTCTTCGTCACCCCGGCCCCCTTCACATCGGCAGACTCCCTGAGAAGAGCGTAAGGAAGGAGAGGGGTGGGAAAGTTAGCCTGAAGCATGTGCGCACCTGGCCCGGTAGGGTCCCGTTTTGCAGGCGGCGGGGAGTGGAAGCTGCGTGGCAGAGGGCTGGTGCGTGGATGTGAGAAAGGTGGAGAGCGAGTGAGCTGAGGGTAGGCTACCTCGAGAAGAGGGGGGTTATTTTGTTTTGTTTTCCAAGAATGGCCAAGGCTTCATGACTCCCTCCTCTCTTTATCCAGGTAATCTTTGTGTGCTCTTGGTTTTCCCTTCTAAATATTTCCCCCTCAGTCCCCTGTGCATCCTATTAGTCCTGCTCCGGTTCAGGCCCTCGTCCCTCACCTGCTCTACTCTCACCTCCTAACTGTGACACTTTCCACTCTTTTCAAAACCTGAGTTTCATCTTAGTATCAGGTCACTTCCTCTTAGCCACAACTGAATGCCCAGAGCCTTTTCCTTGTACCCAAGGTTTCTGTCGCCTTCCTCCTTTCCTCCCTGTCTTGTCATTTTAGCCCTTTGCCTTACCCACTGACAGCCCTCGGTTAATGTCGTGGCCCCATGTACCTGAGCGGCCCTGCCCCGTGGGGTTGCTTAGAATCCCTCCTTTCCCTGCACTGACCCCGTCGCCCTGTCTGGGCTGCAGAGCTGGGCTCAGCGCGTCTCCTCGCCCCTCGCCTGCTAGCCGGCCGCCCTCCTCTGGGTCATGAGCACGCTCTCTCTCAAGCTGCAGTGTGCCTACCTGAGCTCTGAGTGCTTGGGGATGGGGGCTCTCTTGCCGCCTTTGTGGCCCGAGTCCGACACAGAGTTTGGTGCAGAGTCTCACCTACTGCTTGCTGAATGCAGAACAGTGTAAAGACAGTAATACTCAAATTGTAGGGTGCACCGTTTGTGTTTGAGTAGGTTTTGGTTATGCTGTTGTGTGCTTTTCTCGTAGGACAAAAGATCTCAATTTTTAATGAACATAAAAGTTATGTACAAGGAGTAACCTGGGATCCTTTGGGTCAATATGTTGCTACCTTGAGCTGTGACAGGTATGTTAGTATTGGACAAATTGTCTTTATATCTATTTACTTGAAAATTTCTGCAGAGGTATTTTTTTTCACAACTTACTCAATATAAACCATGGTCTAGCTTTGAGTCTTTTGTTCTTGGTTTCATATAAAGAATTTTGTTTTCTGTTACTCTTTCAACATAAGAAAAATTGGAAACTAATCAGGACAAGTGCCTTACATGAAGTTAGTACTTAGTGAATCTTTATTGAATGGGTGAATGAATGCAGAAACAGCTTTGAATTAAACTTGAATTTAATGGGCAACTCTTAAAGAAAAAGCCATTTATAAATATGACTTATGAAGAGGTACTTAGTGTCAGGGTTGGATATTTCATTTTGGATTATAGTTTACCACTGCAGTGATTTAAGGAGACTTTAAATTAATATAAAAGTAAAATCTTTTGTCCTTTTTGGAAGAAGGACCTACTGCCGTGTTTTCTGGTATAATTGCATTGAATTGTGTTCTTGGAACAAAGAATTTTTAGAAAATCAGAGTGCCAGGCATATTACTCATTAATCAAAATAGTTCTTTTAAATATTTACCAATTACTTTTAATTGTAGCAAACTTAATTTCAGGTGGGCCTGGAATGAAAGTAATAGGGAAGAATTGGTGTGTATTTTTCATAGAATCTTCTGTTATATTCCGAGTGTCACTTATTTTCTGATTAGTGTTTATTCCAGCAGTCAGGAGTGCAACACTGATTAGCCAGTGGGGATAATGTGAGTTACCAGCCACCAGATTGACCTGCTGGTGTTTTCCTTACTCCTGCAAATCCCTGAGGACAAGACTGTTAACACAGAGTAAACCTTGCAGTCGTACAAATTGACTCTGGGCCAAATGTCCAGGCCCTGGAAAACAAGGCCAGGCCTAAAGTACATCTTACTGGAGAAGCCGAGACATTCAATAAGGAATGAAATGATGACATATTCCTGCATTTCATTAGTGACATCCTTTAGGTTGTTAATGCTTCTCTCGTCATGACTCAGTTAAGTGGGAAAGTCATTGGTAGATGGTTTTGCAGGCCAGAAATTATTTATGTTATCTTCAGTTTGGGTAACAGATTGTTTCTATGTGAAACATAATTCACTTATTAGAAGAGATACGTCAGACTTTTCTTTTTTATTTAGGACCCTGAGGGTGTACAGCACACAGAAGAAGCGCGTGGCTTTCAATGTTTCGAAGATGCTCTCTGGAACAGGGGCTGAAGGAGAGGTATAAGATACTTTGACTTTCCATTGTAGCAGTGCTTTAGTTGAGACATAGAAAGTCTGAGCTCCTCCGTATCTTGCAGCTAAATCACTGTCTCAACGACACCTGAACCACAGGAAGATTTCCACTTGGACAGTCAAGGCTCAGCTAGTGTGGTGGGCTCGCCTGTCTGGCAATGGGGACGTCTGGGGCTGGGGAGAGCTGATGATGGAGGAAGTGGTTTCCAACCATGGCTGCACTGTGGAGGCACCTGGGAAGCACTAAAAACTACAGGTGCCTGGTCTCCATGCCCAGAGCTGTGATTCGCTCAGCTTGAGGCAGGCAGGGCCTCTGGGTTTCCGAGGTGTGGCGCAAGTCAAGCTCACTGACCTTGGAGGGTCCCAGCACGAGGCATGAGAAGGCAGCTGGGTCCCCTGGCAGATCCTCCAGCAGCATCTTGGCAGGTGGATAGAGAACTCCGGGAGCAGACAGTATTCGGCTGGCTCAGGAATAGGAGGGATTTTGACCTTAGAACTGACGAATGAAAAGAAGACCCTTGTCCTGGAGGAATCAAGACTAGCGAGGCAGGCACTTAGGCAAAAGGGAGCCCGTCAGTTCCTGGCACAAAACGGACCAGGCGCCAATCTAGTCCTAGGGTGGCAGGTTAAGGCTGTGTGGGCCGTGGCTGGTTGATGCTGAGGGGTCACGTGCTTTGTGAAGTAAGGGCTAATGCTTCCTTGGATTTTTGAGAATTAAAGTCTTAATGTTCATAAAGTGTTGGTGAAGGGCAGCAAAAACTTTTACATGGGTTTTCAAGAAATAGTGTTTGGAAAGATGCGATTACCAGTTTAATAATAAACTATATTCTTTTAAAAAAGTATTTATTCAGGTGGAAATTCTAAACTATACACGTGGACAACAAGCAAAGGACTCCTGGCCATCTTCCTGCTTTTTCCCAGTCTCGTCCCCACACACACCACGCACCAAAGGGTTTTTCACTCAGTGTAGAACCATGCACACACATACACACGCACCCACACCCACAGATACACATGCACCCAGAGCTTTCCGAACAAAAGGGGCGGTCGGTTCATGAATGATTACTCTTGCAGTCCTGCAGGACTGTTGGATTTGTCATATATTATTTCAGTTTTATTTCCTATTGTCAGTAATGAGTGATAATACGTAAAGAAAAAACCCCTAGGAATCAGTAGCCTTTCTTGTGAATGTAAGCATTTGGAGTAGTGTTTAAACTTTACGCTGCAGGCCAGAAGTTACCGGATGTTTCACGACGACAGCATGAAGTCCTTCTTTCGCAGGCTGAGCTTCACTCCCGATGGGTCTCTGCTGCTCACACCAGGTGCGTTTAACGCGTCCAGGCCCTGCCAGGCCCCGCGCTGAGGCTTAGAGCCTCTGTATGTCCTCCCCGTGCCTGGCAGCGAGTGCCGCTGTCAGATACAATGCGCGGCTGTGGAATGAAGGCAAAAATAATCAAAATGTAAGGAGGGAAACCAGGGAGGAGGGAGAGTGGAAAAGAGAATGCATTAGTTACTGTGCAAAAGAACTTTCAAGAGCAGTTGACTAAGAAAAGCAAAATGAGTCTAAATAATACTCCATTTTATAAAGGAAACCAAAAAGCCCCACCATATGCATGTATATGCAATTCAATTATAACTGGCTGTCACGATTGTGTGAGCGTGGAGGAAATGCAGAGATGGCTTAATGGTTTGTCAGAGTGGGTGTCAGGGATGGAAGGACGGGGTGAGGTGCCTGCTGCCCTCCTGGGAGACAGGAAATGGTCCACGTGAGAGAGTATATGCTTCGGGAAACAGCAACATAAGACGGAGATGTTCCCCAGAGCAGCTGTGTCTGCCGGTCCTTCTCTGCCAGGTTTCAAGTATATTCTCTGACTGGTTTTAAGCACATCCTGGGGCTAGTGTAGACGAGATCTCAGGTGTGGGCTGCCCCCCAGAGCTAGTCAGCTTCTGCGGGGGCTGGAGATTTTGGCAGCTCCTGGCTCCATCAGGCAGATGGGAAAAGGCCCAGTCTCAGCCTTCAGGTGGCAACTGAGGTTGGAATGCAGGGGACAAAACCAGGGGTGTAGTCACTAGCACTTCAGCAGGAGTTGGCTGGGATCTCAGGCAGAGGTCTTCTTCCTGCCTAAGGCCCAGAAGTGGCTCTGGGGGCGTTTGAGCCCCTCAGGTGAGATGACACTCAGGTGAGAGGACACACAGGTGACAGGTGTCTAGAACCAAAGTTAGGACTGAGCCCAGACTGTGACAGAACGTTTGTATTTGACCCCAGTCACAGAAACATTGTCCAGGGAATATATATTTTGGGGTAATTAATTTACAAAGCAGAATTGGCTCCCCTTGGGGTTTTGCTGGTGAACAGTTTAATAACACACTGCCTTTCCCTGCCTCCCCAGCCGGATGTGTGGAGTCTGGTGAAAATGTAACCAACACAACATACATTTTCTCCAGGAAAAATCTGAAAAGGTACGCAACTGAAGAACTGTCTGAAGCGTTTACCCTTTCCTTTTGCTTTTGTTGAGCAATGAATGGCACCTTTCTCTAAAACCATGATTAATCTTTAGGCCTGTGGCTCATCTTCCATGTCCCGGAAAAGCAACGCTTGCAGTCCGCTGCTGTCCCGTCTACTTTGAGTTGAGGCCGGTGATGGAAACAGGTACATCAGAACCCATTGGTTGTGTTGTGTTTCCTGTCAGGCAGGTCACCAGGGTGGGTGGGGTGTGGATTTTATCTCATGGGGAAAGGTAAATGTGTCGGTTTGGCTTAGGTTAGTTGCTTGTAAGAGCTGGAGCAGACACTGATGTTACCAAACTGTGTGTCTGTTGTTGGCATCATCTGGGACACACTGTCCTTGCTTAGAGCAACATCAAAGACTGTCAGGTTGAATGTCCTTCATTATCGATTTTTAATGCAGTAAAATTATGTATAAATTGGATTTTTCTTTGTTTTTTAACATTTTTCCTCCAGATTTGGGGGATATTGGCCATTATTTCTTCAAATACTTTTTTGCCATGCCTTCGCCCTCTTCAGGGACTCTGGCTGCACGTGTGGGGCTGTGTGAAGTTATCCCCACGGCTTGGTGGTGCTCTGCCCCTTGTTTTCTCTCCTCACAGTGTTTTACTTTGGACAGTTCCTGTGGCTGTTTTGAGTCCACTGTCCCTTCCTCTGTGTAGCTTGCCCATGGTGCCATCCACTGCCTTCTCCCTCTGGGACACTGTCGTCCCCTCTGAAGTTCTGTTTGGGTCTTTCTTCTTGCTCCTTGAACACGTGGAGTGGTTTTTACAGCTCTCGTAATGTCTTTGTGTGCACAGCGTTGGTTTTTATTGTTTCTCCCTCCTCACTTTGGGTCATATTTTCCTGCTCCTCTGTGTGCCCTGTAATTTTTTTATTATATGTCAACCATGAATTTTCCTTAGCGGATGCTGGATATATTTTTATTCTTACAAATATTCTCAAACTTTATTCTGGGAGGCGGTGAAGTTACTTGGAAACGTTTTACTTCTTTTGGGTCTTGCTGCTGAGCTGTGTTGGGGGGATCCCAGCAGCACTGCTCTGAGGGCCGATTTCCCCACTCCTGAGGGGAAGCCCTCTAAGTGCTCTGATCCCTGCTCCAAAATAGGAGCATGTCCCCTGGCTGGTGGCAACATGCACTGTTTCTGGCCTGTGTGAGCACCAGGGATTGATATTTCTTTTTTTTTAAATTTTAAATATATCTTTATTGATTTCAGAGAGAGGGAAACATAAATGATGAGAGTCATTGATGGGCTGCCTCCTGCACGCCCCCATCAGGGGATAGAGTCCGCAACCCGGGCATGTGCCCTGACTGGGAATCGAACTGCGATCTCCTGGATCCTAGGTCGATGCCCAACCGCTGAGCCACGCCGGCTGGGCGGGATTGATTGTTCTTTCCTGTTCTTGCTCAGGCCTCGAGTTGCTTCCTCACCTACATGCACTGGCCAGTGCTCAGCGCAGATGACAGGGCCCCCGCAGGTCTCTGCAGCTCCCTGGTCACTGCTGCAGCCTGGAGCCCAGCTCCGTCTCCGCAGCTCAGGGCACGCACTGGGCACTGCCTGGTCCCCTCCCACTTAGCACATTTGCTTTCCATCACTCAAGGATCACTGTCGTTCATGGCTGATGGGCAGTGTCTTAAAAAATTGGAGGGTAAATTGGGTCCCTGTTATTCCGAGGCTGGAAGCGGAAGCTGTTTTTAACTCTCTAAACTTTTATGTGAATGAATGTAATTGACTGGGAAGAGCATTAAGACATCACTTGATACAATGTTTCCATGTGACCCTAGTTTTCCTTATCAGAAATGCTCCTCAGTTTGGACCCTGGGTGCTCTTGATTCTTGGATGGTGACACAGTGTCCCTGGTTCTTACGTGGTTCTCGGTTATTCCTACGGTCATACATACAGTACAAAGATGTGAATTCTTTCATAAAGCTTAGTATGTCCCCGGGGAGAGGCTCTTGGGGGAGAATTTATTAGTTTCCTATGGGAACTTGGCTGTTGCTGGTGTTACTGTCCTTCCTTTGTCCCTGCTCCCCCCAGACGGACCGTCACAGGGGCCAATGGTGCGCCTGCCCTACCGCTTGGTGTTCGCCGTGGCTTCGGAAGACTCCGTGCTCTTCTATGACACCCAGCAGCTCTTCCCTTTCGGCTACGTGTCCAACATACATTACCACACCCTGAGCGACATTTCCTGGTGCGTGGCTGCGGGGGAAGGCGGGCGGAGGAGGCACAGTGTCCGCGACCCTGGAGCAGACCCTCGGTCAGGGAGCATTTTGTTACTGCACAGGCCTTTTTTGGCCCTTATTTACCAATTTTAAAAAAGGAATCAACGTTAAAAGAAAAGCCTTTTCTCATGTATAATTCCGGCACCTGTTGGAACAGCAGCGGCTGATGGTGCCATTCAGAGTGGCCCATGGGGTTAACTAATTCTCAGCCTGGGGGAGCCCCCACGCTCTCTGGTCGCTCGGGGGCTCACCAGGCCACCGGGGAGGAAGCCGGCCTGCGAGCTCCTGCTGTCCAGATCCGGGCCTGTCCTAGGAGTCACCTGCACCCTGGTTTCCACGTGCGTCCTCCCGGCTTCCCTGGCCCAGCCTTCCCGGCAGGCTCAGGCCTTACTCTTCACCCCTCATTTTCTCTTCTTTTAATATTATTGTTCTCTTGGGAAACAAAGTCACCTCACTTCTGTTCAGGTGCATTTGGTGACAGTGCAGGGAAAGTGGCGCCTGAGAAAGTCACACGGACCTGGGAAGAGGGTGGGAGGAAGCGCACAGACCCTTTCTTAGTCATGTTTTTCCTTCAGATGAAGCTGGTGACTCTGCTTGAACTTCCCGTTTCTAACTGTAGTGCGAGCGTGTGTAGGGCCCACAGGCTGTCAGATTTTTAACTTTTTCTCCTGTTTTGGGAACAAAGGTCCAGCGATGGGGCCTTCCTGGCCATTTCTTCCACCGATGGTTACTGTTCCTTCGTGACGTTTGAGAAGGATGAGCTTGGAATACCGTTCGTGGAGAAGCCAGATTTGAGCATGAGAACTCCTGATACGGCAAAGAAGACTAAGAGTCAGACACAACAGGGGTCTTCGCCAGGACCCAGACTGGTAGAGGGGACCCCCCCGAGCAAAATCCAGGACCCTGGCAGTCCCTGCACAGCGCCCCCTCAGGCTAAGCCATCTGCAGCCCCAGTGACCAAGGACCTGCCCTCTGCTGCTGCCTCCAGGAGCCCAGCACCCGGACCCTCAGAGGAGAAGAGCCCGCCGCCCAGCAGCCAGAACGGGAAAGCGCCCCCACCCCGCAGGGTCACTCTCCACACACTGCAGGCCTGGAGCAAGACGACACCCCGGTAAGAACTTGAAGACGCACCGAAGGCCCCCACTGTTAGCAGGCGAAATGCCAGCAGCAGGGACTTCATGCTGCTGCAGAGACGTTTCTTAACCTCAGCTCCGAGAGCCCCGCTTCCTTGCTCACAGACCTCAGTGCGTCTGGGCTGCCAGTAGATTGTCTCGGGTGATGGGCAGATGTGTTTGTCCCAGTCCTCGTCAGGCTGCTGGCAGATGTTCCCTACTGCTGCTGTAGACAGAGGTGCCAGCGCCGCCCTCTAACCCTCTGTCCCCAGCAGCTGCCGCCCCCAGGTTTCCTCCCTGGATGGCAGGGAAGTTACCCCCCTCCCCCGCAGGCTCAGTCTGCTGCCTTCGCCACCAGTCCCCACCTCCTGAACTAGACAGACTGTCCCGGGGGTTGACAGGGTGGGAGGGGGGCGGGTGATAGAAGATGCTAGAAGCACTGTGTGTCTCTCTGCTGTGCTCACATGACTCCATTGTCAGATCCGCAACATGGGTTCAGCTATTTGTGAGAGACTTCTTTCTGCAGACTAGCAATGCTTTGTTTTTTTCCTATTTTTTCTAGGTGGAGGAAGGGAGTGGAAAGGTGTTCTTTGAAATATTTTTAGTATTTACGTTTTCCCCTCTTAATGTCTTGCAAGCTTCTTGCAGTTGTAATTTTTGAAAAAGTAATAGTTGTTGAAAATTAAGATTGTGGCCCTGGCCAGTGTGGCTCAGTTGGTTGGAGCATCGTCCCAAACACCAAAAGGTGGCAGGTTCAATCCCTAGTCAGGGCACGTGTTCAGGTTGCAGTTCCCACCCTGACTGGGGCGCGTGCAGGAGGCAACCATTTGATGCTTCTCTCTCACGTCGATATTCCTGTCTCTCTCTCGCTCCCTTTCTCTCTCTAAAATCAATTTTAAAAATTAGAAAAAAATTAAAGAAAGAAAATGAGGATTGTGGATTTTAAAAAGAATTACCTGTGTTTCGGAGCTTTCCAGAGTAGGAAGCATGTCCGAGAGCAGGGTGTTCAGCATAGCTCTGGTGATTAACCAGACTCAGACTTTGGAACTCTCAGATGACTGCTTATGGGTTGACTCTCATAACTGTGATGGTTTAACTTAGTCCATGAACATAAGCCTTAGTTACTAAACAGGTGGGTGCATCAGCTGTATATTTAATGTCTTGTGTGAGATGATCAGCTGCAAATTTCAGATGTTTCCTTCCGGTAGCTTTGAAATGTGGTGTCAGACAAACAATTCCCACGACGTGAATTCACCATGTACCCCTTTTTGTTCTTTTAATCAGGAGAGTAAATTTAATGCCCTTAAAGACAGACACTCCAAGTTCCACACCAGGCACTGTGGTTTCCACCCCTTGCACGGACGGAATTCAGTCGGGTAAGTGATCCTGGTACTGGTTTCATTCCTTAAAGGTAGAATATCTTCTTTTGTTCTTTTGGAAATTAACATCCACTAGTTTGAAGTCCTTACTAGACCACCATCCAGACTCACTGGCCACCTGTCTGTTCTCAGCGGGGAGACCACCTTCCCAGAAGCAGTCAGGTGAACTAGATGTCAGGAGGCGCTGCAACTGCTTCTCAGCCTCGGTGCCGCTCACATTTTGGACTGGATCGGTCTCTGTTGTGGGGCTGTCCTGTGATTATGGGTGTTCATTAGCATCCTTGGATGTTGTACCCTTTCCCCCCCATGACATTCTAAAATATCCCCAGCATTGGCCACTCTCCCTTGGGAGGCAACGTCACCTCTGGTTGGGAACCACTGGTGTAGATCCTTTTGCTTCTAGGCACATAGGACCTGGCGCAGGCAGCTTAATTCCTTGTCTGGGCGCACAATTTATTTTATTAACATCAGCTCTAAAACTTAAGTCTTCACTTACTGGCCAGCCTTGTTTGTTAATGTTTCAGAGACACCTGGAGACCCTCAGGGCAGTCCCCCGGAGCTAAAGCGGCCCAGACCTGGGGAGAACAAAGACAGTGAGCAGTGACTGAGCCCTGGAGGAGACCCGTCTTGTGCTTGAGGGCTGCCACGCCTGGGGACTCCTGTGCGCACCGGGAAGGGGCCTGCGCTGAAGACCCCAGACCGGGGCGTCAGACGCTCATAAACTGATTTCTGTAACAAGATGCACATGGACCGGTTTTCCTCCAGCAATAGGTTTGCGCTTGTGTTGAGGATACAGTTTACCCCGGAGATGTGGACATTTCAGTAGAGCTGGACCAGCTGAACAGTGTCTGGTGTGAAAATCCGTCAGGCCTCTCCTGCGATACTTCTGTGGAAGTGCAGGCACCTCATGGTGGACCCTCCGAAAGCTGGGACTGGAAAGGGGTTTGTGAAGGTTTATTCTGTCAGATTCTGGAGTGTGAATGGTTATTAGATTTAGCTTCTAAATAGTTGACTAATTTTTGGAAGTTTGTTACATTTGCTTTCTGACTTTAAAGGTAATAATGCCCATTCTAAAAAGTTAGTAAACTAGAGTGAAGGAGGAAAGAACAGGGTGGGGGTAGGAACCCCGTCATCTCACCCCCAGAGGGAGCCCTTGTTACTGTTTTGGCATATTTCCCTCTTCACATTTTTATTTGTTTTTCTTTTTAAGGAGAGGGTTGAGATTTTACTTTAGATACAGTTTGGTATCCAAATACATTCACTTTTTAGATTGAGTTTTCAAAGCAAGAAAAAGTAACTTAGCAATTTACGCCCACGCCTCTGCTTTTCGAGGACCCTGGGAGGGTGACGACAGTCAGGGATTGTTGCTGCAGGAGGCACGGTGAGGTGACCCAGAGGCGGCCAGTGTGGCAGCTGGTGGAGCCCCTGTTTAGGAGCTGGCACTGAGAAGAGATGTCACAGCGGGATGTGAATCAGTGCTTGATGCCTGTCACTTTGGCTTAGTGAACACGAGCCACGCAGATGGGAGTGCTACACCCAGGGCCTCCTTCCCGGTCGGACAGGCGTCGGCACGAGCATGAGCGACGGCCAGGAGCTGCCTGCCAAGCCCCTGCCCGGGGACAGGAGGAGACTAACTCGTCAGCAGCCACAGAGGAAAGAACTGGGGGAAAGCATCGCTTCTTTGCTTAATCCACGAACTCGCCTCCCTTTTAGACGGGAAGATGGCAACAGGGTCATTTCAGTGCGGAGACCTGGAAGGTGGACGCCTGCGGAGCTGTCACCACGCAGGTGTGGGTCACATTTGGCGTGGAGATGTTTTAAACTGCCAGTCGTGTCTGTTTTGACCGGTGGTTCTCAGCGTTAGCTGTGCATTGAAATTACTTGAAGAGCCAACCAAAATATTGACGCCTGGGTCCCCTGCAGAGGGTCTGGTCTGATCAGCCTGGGGCTCGGTCTGAACGTCAGGGTCCTTTCAAGCCCCTCGGGTGATTCTGATGCGGCCAAGTTGGGAAATCAAGGGAAAAGGCCTTCCGTGGAAATGGTCTCTTCTGGTACATGCTTTGCCCCGAAAGCTCTCGCTTATTCTGCGCTTCGTCCCTGACTGAGGGGGAAGCTCCCTCACCAGGGCCCCAGGCTGGAGGGTGGCATGTGGGAGACGCTTCCAGCTCCTCAGGGGAGAAGGGTTGTTTTCAGCTTCTCGAAGCCGGAGTGACGTGTGTTTGAGGTCGTCCCTGTGCAGGCGGGACTGGCCATGGGCACTCACATCTGCATTCGACGGTGCTGTGGACCCTTCTTACTAAAATAGTGCCCAGGCCCGGGCTCTGAACACTTCCAGTGGGGGAGCAGAGGGAGGGTGGGTGGCCCACCCCTCCCGAGCCTGGGGTCTGGGGGCTCCCACAGCTTCCCTTTTTGTGTTATTTTGCTGTATTTCATTCTCTTCTCCCTCACCCAGTGTATGTGTGTGTTTGTCCATCTGTCTCTATCTTAGGATGGCTAGACCTTGAACAAATTACTTCATCTGAAGAAGTTTGTTTACAGCTCCAAAAACTTGGACTTCACCTGTTTCACAGGGGAGGGGTAAGAGGACAGAAATGAGAGATGGGGTTAAGTGGGTGCAGGTAAGCCCGATCCCACTTCCCCCTACGCACACACGTGCATGTGCATTCTTGTGGCCACTAGGCGTCACTGTCCTCACTGCATCTGCTCAGTAGTAGGGCCTCCTCGGCTTGAAGGTTCTGCAGGCCGCTTAGCCCCTCCTTCCAGTGGTCCCTGTCCCTCAGGCTTGTTCAAGTGGCCTTGGACATTGGTTTCAGCCCCTGGTGGCCACACCTAGAGGGGAGCATTGTTCAACAAATTGGGTGGGCCTCAGCACCTGAAGTCTGGCCTTTGTCAGCACGGACATGGCCAGCAGAGAGAAAAAGACTAACCTGGATCCCCTGTAGAAGTCCTGCTTTTTCAAGTTTTGGCTCTGAGAGACCTGTGAAGCAACAAGTATTGTCCCTTTAAAAGCTGTGGCGACAAATGCTTAGTGATGATGTGGAGTCGATACCACCCTCTCTTAATACAACAACTTGATGTCTCTCATATTACCTGGGAAAGGCACTGCAAGTGTAACCTGTCTTTGAAATAACTCGGGGTCTCTCCACTCCTGGCGAGCACCCTCAGCAGGTCTGAGAACTGTGTGCTTGGGAGGATGTCTGCCGAGGTCAGCGCTCCAGGCCTGCCCGTGTCCTGCAGCCCCCTCTTCCCTCCCTGCCTCCCAGCCACCGGCACCCATTACCTGTGGGGCTTTACAAACAAAATCAACCCAACTCACGTCTAGGCTTTGTTCAGGCCCTGTACTCAGCTACGGGTGAGGGAGACACCCAGCCAGGCCCGTGCACTTAACAAAACAAGCATTCATGGGCAGTCAGCACTGAACTACTGGTTGGCAAGGCATGAAATCTGGAATATACACCGGTGACGGGCTGTTAAAATGCTTTGCTTTTACTGATTTCATGGGCAATACCTATATTCAGCTACCCAAGAGGGGGCTAAATCTTGAAAACTTTGCCACTCAGCTCCATTGTGACTCTGCTCTCATCTAAAGTTATAGGAATGAGGGGATGCTGTCCTTTTGAAGCCAGTCCCACAGCTAGTTCCACGCTGGTTATAGGGAAGCCATGAATTTCAGTTCCTCATGGGGCGAGTACTCGAGTAAGCCGCTAGGGGCGACATCACCAGCCCTTGACGCCACTGTCAAATGTACTAATTTTTAATGGAAGGATTTTTAACCCCATGGTTATGAAAGTAGTATATTATCTATTTGCAATACACTTCATCTTTATTCCTTTCTATATAATTAAATGCTACTTTGTCATTCCAATGAGTTATATACTGAATCAGAGCACTCCATGAGAATGTCACATGCATATAGCTAGGTTTAAAAGGTGTTCATGTTGCTCAGCCGACGTGGCTCAGCGGTTGAGCATTGACCTATAATCCAGGAGATCGAGGTTCAGTTCCCAGTCAGGGCACATGTCTGGGTTGCGGGCTCGATCTCCAGTGGGGGGGTGTGCAGGAGGCAGCTGATCAATGACTCATCACTGATGTTTCTCTCCCTCTCCCTCTCTGAAATCAATAAATATATATTTTTTAAAAATAAAAATAAAAGATGTTCATGTTAAATGTAGTCAAAGGTACAATGAATTTGAAGAAGCTAACCTCAAAAAAAGGTTTATAAGCCAAAAAAAGTCCTAATGACATTTTTCTGCATATTAGCGACAAGTATATCTGCTATGCCTCACAACTATACAAAGATATACACTAAGGCTCTTTGCAATATTTTGAGATGGGAAGGCTGGGAATCATTAAGTGTCTACCAATAGGTTTAATTACAGTAGAACTATACAGTGGGATGTTACACTGCTGTTAGCTGGACCTTTGTGGACCGCTGTGGACGCAGCCTGGAGGATGGGGTGTGGAAGAGATAGCAGTCAGGAGCGACTGCAATAGTCCAGGCAGAGGTTGGACCAGGGCCAGACCACCAGCACGTGGGAGCTGAGGGGCCGGCACACCTGAGTGTTTTGGAGGTCAAGATGACAACTACAGTGAGGCGGTCAGGAGGAAAAAACTAGTTATCAAGATAAATAAGTCTGGGGATGTACAGCATGGTGACCAGAGTTAACTACTGAATTGTTTATTTGAAAGTTGCTAAGAGAGGAGATCTTAAAAGTCCTTATCACAAGAAAAATAGTTAACATCCATTAGCACACATAGTTTCTTAACTTATGGTGGCAATCATTCCATAATCCATATTCAAGTCATGTACACCTAAAATCAATATAGTGTCGTATGTGAGTTAAACGGGAAAAAGATGACAACTGCAGTGATTCTGACTCATTGTAGCTGCTGAGGGGAGATCCCAGCACTCCATTGTTGGGAGGGTCTTATGAGTTTGTGTTTCAGAGCAGAAGCACCCAGTCTGGTGGGATGGCTCATGTCTGCCCCATTTCCCTGAACCCAGGAGGAGGGGGGACTGAGGCCCACGTTCCCTGAACAAGGGACAGATGCCAAATTTGCTTCCAGGAAGACAGAGACCCCGGGGCTGGGCTCTTCCACCCACAGTTCTGCTCGTATAACCCACCTCCTAATGCAGGGATACTGTGCATCACGGCTTCACCTCACTCCACCTCTGCTTGAAGCCTTCCAGGGATGGGGAGCTCACCACTTTGTGGGGACGACTGCTCCATTGCCACTTAGCCTAGGTGGCCAGTTCTCCCATCAGTGGCATCAGGCCAGCTCTGGCTGTGTCCTCTGAGCCACACCAAGGGCTCGCACCCCCTTTCCAGCATTTTAGATAATATCACCTCCCCGTTTGGGGCTTTCTCTTCCAGGCTAAACATGCTGCAGGAAGAGTGGGGCCTCCTAACTGTGAGCTGCCAAACCACTGCCCTGCCCTGGGTGGTACACCGGCTTCACAGCGGAGGAAATGACAGCCTCATGGAGCAGCCTGGCCCAAGTGACAAAACCAGGTCTGTCTGCTCGGCTCCGGTGAGTCACTGGTTATTTTTACTTCTAAGGCCAGAGCTTCGGCCTCACTGGGAGCTCCTGTTTCCTGGCCGATGAAGTGGATGGAAGAAACACAACCTGGCAGCCTGTCCAAAATGCAAGACCCAGGTGGGCGTTGGGGGGAAGCCGACTGCGAGCTCAGTGGTGGGAGGCGAGGGAAGGCAGAAGCCATCTCTGTGCTCTCCTGCCACAGGGCCCTGCACGGCCTTTGCCTTGGTTGGTTTCTGTGCTTATCCACCCAGCAGCAAGGGGAATCCTACAACATTTTCCGATGCAACATGGGGTTGTCTATGAGCCAAACGAGGTGAGAAGACGGACCTTAGAGCCTTGGCGAGACCCCTGCAACCCCCCTTGGAGCTGAAAGTTGGTTTCTCTGGGGAAGCGCTTTTCCATCTGTCTGTGCTCAGCCCCGAGACGCTCAGAAGTCAGGGCTGGCCCCTCACGGGTCTCCTGTCCCTGGATGTGCCCACGGCCAGCCTCAGTGCTGGTACAATGTGCAGTGGAGCCCAGAATGTTCCGTGGAGGACAAGGGGACACGGCNGCCCTGGGGCGAGCTCCGTGGAGCCCAGAATGTTCCGTGGAGGACAAGGGGACACGGCTCTCAATACCTTTTCACGTGCTTACTGGCCGTCTGCTTAATCTCTCCCATTTTTAAATCCCCAGTGCATAACATAAGGTCTGGTTACTCAATAAACACACTTTGATTTGTGAATGGATGGAAACCCCTGGTCTTGAACTTCCCAGGGGCCTTCGTTAAGTGTTGATGGTACTTGGGGAATGTGACAGAAGCCCCATCCGGTCGCTTCTCAGTGCGGTAGCACGAACACTGGAGTCCTTGCCCCGGCCGCGTGGGCAGCTCCTGCACTCCCCTCCGATCGGCTTCTTATCATTTCTCTCTCGCTTGTCATCGAGTGACCTTGGTACAGATTGTCCAGGCTGCGACATTTTTGAGAGAGACATTGAGATAACAGGCCTCACCTGGGACCGTCCCAGCACATCAGCCTGGTCATCACACTTGGGCCACGTGGGCCTCCCGTCTGCCCTTGAACATTAGCTCTTTGCCCGCACAGGGCCTTTGCACAGGCTGTTTCCTGTGCCTGGAGGCCCTTCCCCTGCTCGTCTCCGGGCTGGCTCTGCTGGCTTTCAGGCTTTGGCTTCACTCTGGCCTCTCTCTCGCTGAGACCTGTTATCATCCTCTCTCCCTGCTCCACTTTCATTTTCTTCACAGCTTTGATCACAGTTTATGCTTATAAATTCATTTGCTTTTTGCCTGCCTACTCTAGAAGATAAGTATTTCCCTTTTACTTGAAAAAAAAATAGAACCAGCATGTTTCATGGTGCCTGACGAAAGCTAGACAACAGTAAATAGCTGCCACGTGAGTGAATTGCCCATTAAGGTAAGGAAGGCGCTGTCGTGGAACCCGACAGGTGACAGCTGGGAAGGAACAGAAACTTGGCAGGAGATGCACATTCTGTGGGGAGTGAGCTCACGAGCTGGAAAACATCAACCCTACAAGGAACACTTTTCTCTCAAACTGCCCTTTAGCCAGAGGATTTGTTGGAATCATTGCAAATGATTGTAAATATCGGTCATTTCTCTCTGAAAGCTGTTATGAAAATGGCTTCTTAATAGTCACCACTCACTTGTCCACCTGCCTACTCACTGACCATCGCCCACCATGTACCCACCCCCTACTCCAACCAACACCCACCACCTGCCCACCGTAGGACCACCACCCACCCTCCTAGTCATCACCTGCACCCTCCACGCTCCCATCCACTTGCCACCACCCTACCCGCTGACCCATCATCACCGGCACCCACCCTTCACCCACCCATCCCTGCTGCCGGGGCCTTGCTCTTGTGCCCCTGTTGGCTCTGATGTTCTGGAGGGAGCAGTAGTTGGCTTGGGGAAGTGTCCATTTGAGTCACCCTAAGATAAAGGTTATAGACAGTCAAAACACGGAGGAGACTGCTGAGGTTTCCCTGCAGACCTCACAGATTTGGGGGTGAGGAAGGCCCTGGCCCAGCCGCAGCCTTGCCTCTTCCAGCTGTGGATCTGTCTGTACCCCAGTGACTCTGAGCCTGCACATCTCCACCCTCGGAGAGATGACGTCTTACAGGCCCTTGGAGCTGCTCCCTGCACCCGCCTCCCTTCGTTCCTTGCCCCCAGGATGAAACAGAAAGTGTTTGGAGCCGCACAGTGTTGAGAGAGTTGGTGGGGACTTCAGAGGAAACCTGAACCCTGCAGCTTAATGTCCACTGAGCCAGGAGTTACTGTTACCAGCGTCCAGCCCTAGACTTGGGACCCTGCCGGGCAAAAGCACAGCCTCAGAGGGGACACGATGCTGCTTCCCGGAGACCTCCCCCGCCTCACACCACATGCAGACTGTGGAGAGCGCCTGGCAGGGGGTGAACAGGGTGATTTTCTCTGTGTCTTAACATAAAGATGACTGCATCTGTTGA